GGGCAAGGAGATAAGTTTGGGGAGATGGTGGCCCTGGCCTGAGAGTGCCAGGGTCAGGCCTTGGGATGGGGCTGTGGTTGGACCCACTGTGACTTTCCTCTGCTGGGAGACAGAAGAAGAAGTCCAAGGGCTTAGGAAAGACTGGAAGGCCCTGTTGATCCGAATGGGGTGGGAGGGAGAGGGGGAAGTGGGAACTCAGAGGCCCCAAATCATGGACCTCCCCTGGGCTTTGGGATGATCTGGGTACATGTCTTTTTGACTAGTTGTTGTTATGAGTATTGTATTTTAAAGAAGATAACTTACCCAGTATAATTTTATTTCTTTGCATGCATCTTGCTTTTTGGTCCTAAGAAAGATAAATTTTAGTGAATGTTTCATGTGGACTTGAAAAGAATCTATTCTGTGGTTGTTGGTTATAATGTTCTGTATGTGCCAATAAGGTGTCTATATGTGTTGTAAAAATCATGTATATCCTTACTGATTTATTTTCTTGTTATGAAACTTAACCATTTTAACTATTTTAAAGATTACAATTTAGTGGCACTACGAACTTTCACAGTGGTGTGCAGTTGTTGCCATTGTCTAGTTTCTGAACATCTTCATCACCCCAAAAGGAAACCTCATACCCCTCATAGGTCATACCCCATTTCCTCCTCCACCTGGCCCCTGGCTAATGCTAATTTGCTTTCTGTCTCTGTGAATTCGTCTATTGTAGATATTTCATGAGTGGTATCGCACAATATGTGGCCTGTTGTGACTGGCTTCTTTCATTTAGCATGTTTTCAATGTTCATTTACTTCATAGCATGTCTTAGTAGTTCATTTTTCATGAGTGACTAATATTCCATTGTATGGATATCCCACATTTTGTTTATCTGTTCATCTGTTGATGGATATTTGGGTTGTTTCCATCTTCTAGTGATCGTGAATAGTGCTGCTATGAACATTCATGTACAAGTTTTTGTCTGAATATTTGTTTTCATTTTTTGGGGGTATATACCTAGGACTTACTGGGTCGTAGGATAATTTTACATGTAACTTTTTGAGGAAGTGCCCAACCGTTGACTGAACGAGTTTACATTTTCCACCACCAATGTGCAGGGTTCTGATTTCTTTCCATCCTCACCAACCCTTTTCTGTTTTTTGAAAAAAAAAAGATAGCCATCCTAGTGGATGCGAAGCATTATCTCACTGTGGTTTGGACTTGTGTTACCCTAATGATTAGTGATGTTGAGCATTTTTTCATGTGCTTTTTGGCCATTTAAAATATATTTTCTCTGGAGAAATGTCTATTCAAGTCCTTTGTTCATTTTAAAATTAGGTTGTTTTTTTTGTTGTATTCTTCGAGTTCTTTATATATATATCCTAGATACTAGGCCCTTAGTAGATATTTGATTTACAAATATTTTTTCTCACTCTGTGGGTTGTTTTTCAACTCTTGATAGTGGTTTCTTTTTTTTTTTTTTTTTTTTTTAAGACATGGTCTCTCTGTTGCCCAAGCTGGAGTGCAGTGGCGTGATCCTGGCTCACTGCAGCCTCAACCTCCTGGGCTCATGTAATCCTTTCACCTCAGCTTCCTGAGTAGCTGGGACCACAGGCATGTGGCACAATGCCCAGCTAATTTTCTTTCTTTTATCTTTCTTTCTTCTTTCTTTCTTTCTTTTTTTTGTAGAGACAAGGTCTCCTATGTTGCCCAGGCTAGTCTCGAACTTCTGGGCTCAAGTGATCCTCCCATCTTGGCTTCCCAAAGTGCTGGGATTACAGGTGTGAGGCACCACACTTGGCTTTTTAAAAATTTTATTTTAATTATTGATTCAATCTCTTTACTTGTTGTAGGTCTATTCAGATTTTCTATTTCTTCTTGAGCCAGTTTTAGTAGCTCGTGTATTTCTAAGAATTTGCCCATTTCATCTAGGTTATCTAATTTTTTGGCATAGTATTCTTGCCAATTTTTTGCCTGCTTGTTACTAAGAGAGCAGTGTTAAAATCTCCAACCAAGACTGTGAATATGTCGTCTTTTGGTTCTGTCAATTTTTGTCTTGTGTATTTTGAAGCTATGCTACTAGATGTATACAGATTTAGGTCAATCTTCTGGCAGATTGACCCTTTTATCACTATGAACATATCCTTTATCTCTAGTAATGCTTCTTGCCCTCAAATCTATTTTGTCAGATGTTAGTGTAGCTATACTGGAGTTCTTTTGTTAGTGTTTATGTGGTATATCCTTTTCTGACTCTTTGTTTCAAAGATTTCTGTTCTTTTATATTTAAGGTAGGTCTCTTGTATCATAAAAATAAAGTCTGATAATAATGTTAATTTGAACATTTAGTGAATCATGATATATTTGCGTTTAAGTATACCACGGACTGTTTTCTCTTTGACTCTTCAGTTCTGTTTCTTTTCTCTCTCTCTCTTTCTCTTTTTTTTTTGCCTACTTTTGGATTAAGTAGTTTTTGGAATTCCATTTCCCCGCTCTGTTAGCTTGTTAGTTGTCCATTCTTTCGGAATTCTTTTTATGGTTTGCAGTTTGCACCCTCAACTTATAAAGTACTCGGTTCACTTCCCAGGCAGTGAAATACCTTGAAACATTTTAGTTCCATTTACTGCTGTCCTAACTTATATACTCCTGTTACCATGCTTTTAACTATTATAGCTCTCTATATTTTATTCCCTGGAAAACTTTACTGTTGCTCTACATAGTTGATTTCCATTTAGAGTTACCAATTCTTTTTGTTATTTCATTCATTTCTGCTTCTCCATATTTCCATCTGGGATAATTTTTATTCTTTTAGTTTTTTTTGCTTAATTTCAACTTTTTTTGTTGAAGTGTGACAGGTGTCTCCCAAGTCCTTGGGTGTTTTTCCTTGTCCTTGGTGGGTGCTGAACTCCAGTCTCGGTTCTCCAGTCCTAAGAGGCCACCCAGCTGCTCAGCCCCTGGCTGCTTCTGGGAAGCAGCAAATGCTTCAGGGAGAAATGCTGCTCTTTCTGGGGTCACCTCTCCACACTCGCCTACAGAGTCTTCACCCTGGAAGCCTCCACTGCTTTTGTAATGCCTCCAATGCCTTCACACAGATGTGCTATGAATATTTTGACCAAGAATTGTTTCTTCTGGGAAGGTTCCCCCACAACAAGATAGTCTGACATTGCTTAGATTAGAAATCTTGCCTGGTTACTTTTTGATTTTGCACTCCTGACTAATGGCTGAGGAAGGTTCAGTTTGTGTGGAACTCAAAGAGAGTCTTTTTTTTTTTTTTTTTTTTTTTTTTTTTAGACGGAGTCTTGCTTTGTTACCAGGCTGGAGTGCAGTGGTGCAATCTCTGTTCACTGCAATCTCCACCTCCTGGATTCAAGCAATTCCCCTGCCTCAGCCTCCCGAGTAGCTGGACTACAAGTGTTCACTACCATGTCCAGATAATTTTTTGTATTTTATTAGAGATGGGGTTTTGCCACGATGGTCTCGATCTCCTGACTTCATGATCCACCCGCCTTGGTCTCCCAAAATGCTGGGATTACAGGTGTGAGCCACCGCGCCTGGCCTCAAAAATAGTCTTATGAGCATTGCCCTCATAATCCTCTATTGTAAATGTGCACACATGGCTATGTACTTATATATAGACACACGTATATATGTAAAACTATACAAGGAAACATACCAAACACACTTGTATCAAGGCAAACACAGGATCTTTTCTCCTGAACCGTTTTGGAAAGGCATAGAAAGTTCTTACTTGTCAGCTAGTTACAAAGTCTTACATCACTGTTTTCTGAATGATTTCTGTGGTGTGTGAATGTCCCACATGACACTAATAGAGTGTCTTTGCTAAAATAGTGCCAAGGTTAGTAAACTTGGGAAATGATGTGGAATCCTCTCTTTGGAGACACCGGCACACATCAGCATGGTAAAGAGTCTGAAACATGTAAATAAACTTGTTCTATTATGAAATCTTTTTTTGAGTGAATACCTATTTGTGTAGGTGAACCTTGGAAAACACTGCTTTATAGCAAACCCCAATCCACAAAATCCTACAGTGATAAGTATCCAGTATTCAAGAGTTTTTATTTTCACAAAGATGAAGTGCTGTTCAGTGTTTTCTCAAACGTGGGACTCCACGGAGAGTCTGGAATTATGAATATTAGGCGTTGGGTTTGCAGGGCTTGAGCCCCTCAACTACTCATTGGTTAAAACAAGAAGGTAGAACTTGGGGATTTAGTCATTTCCAGCTCTTTGCCTGTTTCTGCCTCTGAGCATGAAACCATCTGCTTGGGTTCTCTTTGTCTCAGTTCAGCTCAGCTCAGCATGGGGCACCCGTGTGTGTCCATGGCAATTGATTTTTGAGTCCCGTAAGAACAACCCTTCCCTCACTTCACCTACGTCTTGGAAGCCTTGCTGCCCCTCTGTGCAGGTGAGAGGGTGAGACAGTTGTGGCGGAATACGCAGAGCTTCTGCTCAGAAGCCAAGAGGCCTGGGTTCAAGTCCTGGTGCTGAGTGACCTTGGGAGAGTTAACCATGGAGTAGCGGTGAGAGCATGGCCTTTGGTGTCGGACACACTTGGCCCTTTCACTTCCTTGCTGTGTGATCATGGGCATGTCACTTCACCTTCCTGTACCTCAGTTTTCTTACCTGTCAAATGGGGATAATAAAAATGGGCACTTCACCTTCTCCTTGGGGTGAGAAAGAAATAAGATAATGCATGTCAAGCACAAGACCTGGAACACAGTAGAGACTTGGCAAATGTCAACTCTTACAACACTTCATTCAGCCCGATTCCTTCATCTGGGCTGCAGGAGAAGCCCAACCTCTCATGAGAGGTTGAGAATCAAGCACAGTTCTGACTGTGATAAGAGTTCTGTAAACTCTTGGAGACAAAAGAAAATTCACGCAATTTAATTTTCATTATTGCCCTTGATGCTGCCTCATCCCTCTGGCTGGGCAGGGCAGGGTGTATGGGGAACACACCAGCCTCCTTCCCTACTCTTAGGCAGGACCATTTCTCCATTACAGAACATTGGTAAGAAGATGTCTTGTCAGCAATTCATTGCCAACTTGGACCAGCTGAATGATGGCCAAGACTTTGCCAAAGACCTGCTGAAGGTATTGTCTGCCGAGAGCCCCCATCCCGCTAGCTATGCCCTGCATGGATAGAGAGGAGAGAGGTCTCTGCCCCAAGAAATGCTGGCATTCAAAGCTCTTAACAGAGGGTGCAGGGCCATGATGACAAAGTTAGAAACCTCTGAGCTCAACATTTGGCTGTTCTGTGTTCCCTGAGTTAGGCGGGGGGAAGGCTTTGTGAGATTTGTTTTTAGTAGTCCATTATCACCATTACTGTCATAGTAATAATCAGTACTGCTACCAACTGTCACAGCTGCCACCCACCACAACCACCACCACCACCTTCACCACAAACATCGTCATGATCACTTCAAGGAAAAGCCCACTCATTCCTTCATCATCACCAGGAATTAAGACAATCTAGTTTTCTTTTGAGGCTGAAGCCAAGGGTGGAACTCTGGCCTTTATATTCTGGTCATTTCTCCACTTTGGAGGAAAAGGGGAAGGTTTTGGGGGGCTGGTGATGGGCTTATTTTTATTATTTGTATATTTTTGAGACAAGGTCTCATTCTGCCACCCATGCTGGAGTGCAGTGGTGCGATCATGGCTCACTGCAGCCTTGAACTTTTGGCCTCAAGGGATCCTCCTGCCTCAGCCTCCCAAGTAGCTGGGACTATAGGTGCCTGCCACCACTGTGCCTGGTGGTTTTTATTTTTATTTTTTGTAGAGCTGGGGGGTCTCATTATGTTGCCCACGCTGGTCTCAAACTCCTGGGCTCAATCAGTCCTTGCACCACAGCCTCCCAAAGTGCTGAAATTACAGGTGTAAGCCACCTCACCCAGCCAGCTTCATTTTTAGATAGTGGGTTTGAAGAATCTGATGATACTACAGGGGCAGTTGAATAATAAGTTTTGAGGTCTCCATCCAAACTCCAGTGTTGCATAGAACACTGTCTTCATCACTCTTCCCACTATGTATTCCTCACCATTGAGAAGCATTTGTGAGGCACGTATTTGTGAGAGCAAACAATTGCAGTCTCACCATCCACTTATCCATTTCTCCCCATCTGCTCATTCACCCATCTGCCCACTTCTGCACCCATCCACTCCTCCTCCCATGCATCCACCCAGCCACTCAGTCATTCACCTACCCATATACCCACCCATTCCCCCACACCCATATATATCCCCAAACCCTCCCTTCCCACCTCTCCATAGCAAACACTCACCCATTTGCCCGTCACCCACACAGATACCTTATGCTCTTCAAACACTTCCTCATCTACTTACCTCAACAAACATCACCACATCTACTCACCCATCCCCCTATCCAACTATTCCCTACCCATTCTTTACCCACTAACCCACCCACATTCATCCTCAAACCTATCCACTCAATCATTTACTCAATCATCCACCCAACACCCTGCCATTCATTTGCTCACCCATATCCTCATGCATACACCCCTAAATCTTCCTTATATACCCTCTATCCACCCACTGATCTTTTATTAATTCACCCATTCACCTGCCTATTTCTCCACCCATCCTTCCATCTTCCACTGGTCCACGTCCCCATCCATCCATTCCATTCACCCATCCTCCCATTCATCCATTCATCCTCCCATCCATCAGTCTACCCCATTGAGCACTTGCTGTATGTTGAGCTCTGGATTTTGCACTGGAGATTCAGTAGTGAACAAATGGACAGCCTCTGACCTTGTGAAGCTTACAGTCTCCTGTGAGATTGACATTAAGTGATCACATAATTAAATACTACCCATCTGTACATCCACCCACCTGCTCACTTATCCATCTAACAAACAAGTATGAATCAAATGCCCACTTTACTCCATTGGCTGAAACGATGCTCCCTCACTGTACCCATGTTATTGTTGATAGATGGGTGTTTCTTTTGACTCTTCACCTGAATTCCTCTCTCTCTTTTTTCTGTCTCCCAGACCCTTTACAACTCCATCAAAAATGAAAAGCTGGAATGGGCCATGTGAGTAGTGCCTATGGGCACAGGTATGGGGAGCCTGCATTCCTGGGAGGGGGAGAGTGGGGGTGCAGGTTTGTCTTTCTGACCACTCTCCATGGTGCTGATCCCTCCCAATCCAGTGCCTGACACATGTGTCTAGCTGGCCCACACCTGGTGTTGAATTCCCCTTTGGTCCATTTTCTGTATTGAGAAAAAGAGTGCAATGTTTACATTACTATGGAATAGATTGAACTGTGATAGTGTTTTCTATATGGGGATAGTGTTCCAATTCCCATTGATGACAGCTCCTTTCCCTTTGGGAAGTAGGCAGGCAGGAGGCACGAGGGCCCTATAACAATATGACTGTGTAGATGGTGACTGCTATTGACAATGGGAAGGGGAGAGTGCCCTCTAACTTCTTCCCTTGCAAAAGCAGTGAGACCTGTAGGTCTCATCAGGAAAGAGGGGTGGTGACCTTGTTGTTTGGGGAGACTGTGAAAGGCTCTGCTGTGCTCCCCAGGGCAGCCGAGGTCCATGTAGAGGTCCCAGGAAGGGATTGGCGGGAACTCCCATACCACAGGGAAGAGCTGGCACTCTTCTGCTGGGGCTCCTGTGGGGGCCCAGACTTCAGGTCCTTACCTGCTGGCCTCCCTCTGCCAGCGTGTCGGTAGGGTTTGTGCAGCATCTTCAGTCTGGCCATGGTTAGTGCTCTCTGTGATGGAGAGAGGTGAAGGAAGACTGGGAAGGAGACCTGGAGACAGTAAAGTCTCCATGTTTGTGACCAAGGATGCCAATTGGGACTTGGACAAAAATCAAAGATCAGAGGTCAGAGTCAGAAGTGGAGATGAGAGTAGGGGTCAGAGATCTGGATCTACAGTCTGGAATTGGAATCTCCTCATCTCTACCTCCTGGGGCTGCTCTTCCTCAATGACCCTGGCTCCCGGATGGGTGGCTGGTGGGAAAAGGCCATGACGATGCAGGCCTGAGGCCTCCCTGGAGGTGGTGCTCAGGCCTAGTACTTCCCTAGTGATGAGGATGAGCTGAGGAAATCCCTGTCTGAGCTGGTGGATGACAAGTTCGGGACAGGCACGAAGAAGGTGACGCGAATCCTGGACGGTGGCAACCCCTTCCTGGATGTCCCACAGGCTCTCAGTGCCACCACCTACAAGCACGGTGTGCTGACCCGGAAGACTCATGCTGACATGGATGGCAAGAGGAGTGGGTGTCAGGCTTGGAGAGGGGCATGGGAGGGTTGCTGGCACGGAGGGGGGCGCCCCCAGGTCACTCCTTGGGGGTGCACATACAGGTGGACACATAGTGGGAGGTGGGATTGGAGAGACTGCAGAAGGTGGCTGCAGCCACACTACCAGTGCCCTTCTCCCCAGCGCCCCGTGGGAGGCGTGGCTGGAAGAAATTTTACGCAGTGCTCAAAGGGACCATACTGTACCTGCAGAAGGTGAGACTGCCCCAGAAAATGTACTCAGAAAGGGCCAGCTCAGTCCCATCCCGCCCTGGCCTTGTGGCACCCTGAGGGCCCCAGGCAGGACCTGGGGCTCAGGCACATGCCTGGTCCTTCCCCAGACTTGGGCCCACTCAGGGCTTTGGAGGTTTTTATATGAGGACTTGGTGCCCAGTGGCTCAGTGTGAGGCCTGTCCAGGCCTCTGAGACTGGGGTAAGGGGAAGAGTACCTGAATTCTCGTTGGGGTGGGTGAGACAGCAGGAATGGAAAATGAAGGGAGTTATAGGGACAGAGAGGGGAGTGAGGGCAGCGGGGAGTGAAGGTGTGGGTTAGTGACCCTAGCGCACCCATCCCTCCCCATCCAGGATGAGTACAGGCCTGACAAAGCTCTATCAGAGGGTGACCTGAAGAACGCCATTCGTGTGCATCATGCTCTGGCCACCAGGGCCTCTGACTACAGCAAGAAGTCCAACGTGCTCAAGCTTAAGACAGCCGACTGGAGGGTATTCCTCTTCCAGGCACCGTGAGTAGGAGCTGGAGCTCCTCGCTCCCGCCCAGGGCCCAAGGCCTGCCGCGGTGACCCGGCACACAACCCCTCTCCTTCTCGTGAGTCAGCCACAGAGTACGTGTAGCCACATGACACAGACCGACAGCTGGGTTACCCAAAAGCAGCAGTTCTCAAAGTGTGGTTACCCTCGGCACCACTTGCAGTCCCTCTGGCTCCACCTTAGACCTGCTGAGCCCAGAAACTCTGGGATGGCTCCAGCAGCTGTGTTTAACAAGCCCTGCAGGGGCAGCTGAGTGCGCTGGAGTCTGCAATGCGGGGCAGGTGGCATCTTTATGAATCATCCTTCACTTTAAATGTGGGAAAGATGCACCCTCCAGGTGACCTGTAGGGCTATCCTTCTACCACCTCCCATCCTCCTGTGACTTGAGACTGGGGTGTATGTGTCACATGAGCTTGCAAGGAGGCAGGCTGGTGGACAAGGCTTCAGGATCACAGCACCCATGCTGGGCAGGCAGCGGGGCAGGGCAGGAGGGCTGTGGGGATGTGCCCAGTTGCCAATGCCTCTGATGTTTCCCAGTTCATGGTCACTCCCGCCCATTCACTCCAGGGCCACTAACTGTGGACCTATTATTTTCACATGAAAATCTGGTGTGCCTGGGAGCTGGGACAGAAAGGGAGCTCCCCGCATAGCTTTGGCCACGCCCATCCAGCCCCTATGCATCCTCCCTCTCTCCTTTACCCGCTCATCTAGAGGTACTGGTGCCTTCTCAGTGCCAAGCCCAGTGCTGGGTATGGGGTGCTGGGTGAAGGACAGGGAGTCCTGTGTGAGAGGCCGGGACCCTCTCCCCTTCCTGTCCCCAGGAGCAAGGAGGAAATGCAGTCCTGGATCCTCAGGATCAACTTGGTGGCAGCCATCTTCTCTGCCCCGGCTTTTCCAGCCGCTGTCAACTCCATGAAGAAGTTCTGTCGGCCCCTGCTGCCCTCCTGCACTACCCGCCTCTGCCAGGTACATGCTCCTGGGTCAAGATGCCAGCTCCTCAGGCTACCATCTGTTCAGGAGCCCACCCCAGTTTCGTCTCTAGGCCGGGTGATCCTGGGCTGAAGGACACCAGAGAAGGGCAGCTCTTCCCTCTATCCCACGCACCCCACCCCCATGTCCAGACGGGAGACTGAGGCATGGCACACAGGGGCCACGGCTGTGGCAGGTGGCGTGGAGCTGCCTCTGCCAGTGCATCCCTGTGGATGTGACCGAGAGTTGGTGGCCTTGTGTGCATCTGGGCACAAATGGAAGAGGCTGTGTGTCACAGGGAGCTCGCACAGTGACACCTGGCTGACTCTTCATCCAGTGCTCCTCTGCTGCCCTCACCTATCCTTAAATATTTTATTTGTAATCCTAGAAAACCCAACTCACCCATGCTGCAGGCTCTCAGGGCTTCTTTGGAGAGGACAGGAGAAATGGTGGCCCAGAGCCTGAGAGGTAGAGGGCAGTGGAAGCCCCATACTTCCTCTTTGCCAGCAACTGGCCCCTTTCCCACTAGACCTTGCCCCGGGTCTCCCCACTGAGCTCCTGGGCTCCTGCTTCTGCCCAGAGCCCCTGTGCATGCACATGTAACACACGTACACCACATATGCACACACACCACACACATTCACGTGTGCAAACACACTGGCAGTGACTCACACACACGCATGCACATGTGCACAGCACCAGGGGGCCTGGCTGTCCTGCAGTGGGGGGATGTGCATGTGTTTGCTCATCAGTGACAGTGTCTCAGCCTGTCTTTGGGTGTGATCTTGGGTCTGTGACCACTGCGTGTGACTGGGCATGAATGTAAGAAAATGCGTGTATCACATGGAGGAGGGGAGAGCAGGGCCAGGCTGGCCTTGGTCTAGGGTGTTTGTGGGTGCACGTGGGAGTGCATATGAGCTGGGTTGTATGTGGGGGTCGATGTGTGTCTGTATTGGGGATTGTCTATGTGCACATATAAGTGTCAGCGTCTCTCCTCTCCTGAGCCGGCGGGGAGGTGGGGGTGGGGGAAGGGGCATTGAGGAAAGCGCTTGCAGGGGGAGGAGGGAGGGAGGTGGGAGGAGGCGCATGCCCTTGGGTCCAGAGCCTGGCTCTATCCCCATGTTTTGGTGACCCTGGTTAGGCCTTCATTTCCCTTTGGTGGAGCAGCTCCTGGTGGAACAGGATTTGATCCACCCTGTGACAGCCTGAGAGTAAGGCCTCACAATCCAGGACTTGTCTTCGCAGGAGGAGCAACTGCGATCTCATGAGAATAAACTGAGGCAGCTAACTGTGGAGCTGGCCGAACACAGGTGTCACCCAGTTGAGAGGGGCATCAAGTCCAAGGAGGCCGAGGAGTACCGGTTGAAGGAGCACTATCTCACCTTTGAGGTGAGCGTCTGGGGGTTGGATTGCAAAGCCCAGTGCCCTGCTCTTTCTCCTTCCTGCGTGACCTGATGTGGGACTGGGGAGGTGAAGCTTCATGATAAAGGGGCTTGCTCATGTGGCAGCTGGCAGGGAACAGGGTCCCCTGACCTTTAGTCCCAAGCCCTTCCAGGGTGCCAGCCTTCCCTGACAAGGGTGAGGGGCTGAAGCTGAGACAAAGGCTCTCAGACGCTGCCAAGTCTTCCTCTTAAATGCTTACGCTGGTTTCTAACCCCTTTAATGGTTTGTGAATGTACTTATTTCTCTATGTCCTCATCAACACTGGGCATTGCAAAATGTTTTGATCTTCACTAATCTGATAGGTTTAACAATTAGTATTTCATTACTACTTTTATTTTGAGATAGAATCTCACTCTATCGCCCAGGCTGGAGTGTAGTGGCGAGATCTTGGCTCACTGCAACCTCCACCTCCTGGGTTTAAGCGATTCTCGTACCTCAGCCTCCCGAACAGCTGGGATTACAGGCGAGTGCCACCACACCCGGCTAATTTTTTTGTATTTTTAGTAGAGATGGGGTTTCACCATGTTGGCCAGGCCGGTTGTGAACTCCTGACTTCAGGTGATCCACCTGCCTCAGGCTCCCAAAGTGCTGGGATTACAGGTGCGAGCCACTGCCCTCAGCCTCATTACTAGTTTAATTGCAGTAAGACTTGTAATATAAAATTTACCATCTTCCCCATTTTTAAGTGTATAGTTCAGTAGTGTTAAGTCTATTCACATTGTTGTATAACCAATCCCTAGAATTATTTCCTCTTCCCAAGCTGAAACTCCGTTCTCATTAAATAATAACTCCCCATTCTCCCCTCCTTCCAGCCCCTGGCAATCACCGTTCTACTCTCTGCCTCTATGATTTTGACAACTGCAAGTGGAATCATACAGAATTTGTCTTTTGTGATTGAATTATTTCACTTAGCATAATGTCCTCAAGGTTCATTCATATTGTAGCATGTATCAGAATTTCCTTTCTTTTTAACTCATTTATGGTGGAGGTTGCAACATTTTTTTTTTTTTTTTGGTGAAAAATCAGACCTTGGAGGTGACCTTGAGCAGTAGATGTAAATAACTCCCATAAGCTTGCCATTCCAATAATGAAACACTAGGCGTGAATAGGTTAAGGCTGAATAATATTCCATTGTATGTATACACCACATTTTGTTTATCCATTTGTCCATCAGTGAACACTTGGCTTGCTTCCATCTTTTGGCTGTTGTGAAAAATGCTGCTATGAAAATGGGTATACAAATATCCCTTCAAGACCCTTCTTTCAATTCATTTGGATTTATAGTTAGAAATGGTCCTGCTGGATCATGCGGTAATTTTATTTTTAACTTTTTGATAAACTACCAGCTTTCCATAACAGCTGCTCCATTTACATTCCCACCAGCAGGTCACAAGAGTTCTGTCTATTTCTCCATATCCTCATCAACATGTATTTTCTGCTCTTTTGATAGTAGTAAGCGTGGCTTTGACTTGCATTTCCCTAGTGACTAATGATGTTGAGCATCTTTTCATGTCCTTGTTGGCCATTTGTATGTTTTCTTTGGAGAAATGTGAATTCAAGTCCTTGCCCATTTAAAAATTTTGGGTTGTCTTCTGTTGTTCCATTCTGAGAGCTCTTTATATATTCTGGATACTAGACCCTTATCAGATATATGACTTGCAGATATTTTTCTGTAGATTGCCTTTTCATTCTGTTGATTGTATCCTTTGATGTACAGACGTTTTAAATTTTGATTTTAAATTTAGTCCCATTTGTGTATTTTTACTTTTGTTGCCTGGGTTTTTGGTGTCATATCCAAGAAATGATTGCCAATTATTTGGATTTTTAAAATTATGAAGTTTATGTGCATGTCCCTTGCTTATTTTTTAATTGCACTGTTCATCTTCTTTATAACGATTTTTGAAAGCTCTCTGCATATTAAGGAAATTAGTCTTTTATCATATAAGGTGCACATACTTTTTTCCTGTTTTGTTGTCTTTTGACCTTGTGTTTGGCCTTTCCCCAGAAAAGCCGTTATGAGACCTATATCCACCTCCTGTCTGTGAAGATCAAAGTGGGCTCAGATGATCTGGAGCGGATTGAGGCCCGGCTGGCCACTCTGGAAGGGGATGACCCTTCTCTCCGGAAGACACACTCAAGCCCTGCCCTCAGCCAGGGCCACGTGACTGGCAGCAAAACCACAAAGGATGCCACTGGGCCTGATACTTAGCTGACGTGGATGTGCAGGCCCCAGAGGTGGGCAGAGTCTCCATTGGGGCCGGTGAGCACAATTCCAGCCAGGAGCCACACGGACCAAGCTCCAGGCAGTTGATGGGCAGCCAGAGGGTGAAGAGAGCCTGTAGGCCCAGGAGATGGAGATGCCATTTGTGGCATTGACCTCCTTGCATCTGGGGGCATCTCTGGGCATCAGACCCTCTCCCCAGCCCTTGTTTCCCTCTCCACCATGGAGCCTCATTTTGTAGGCCAATTGTGTGCATGCTCTAGACATCACCTTGCTGGAGAAGCTGGAAGGGCTGTTGTCTTCCCAAGTCTTCCTCTTCTCATCAAGCTCCTCTCCTCATCTTTCTTGTCTGTGAGGGCAGGTCTTAACTCCAGGTCTCAGCTGGAACCCCACCTTTTCTCCTCCTCCTTCCTCTGAGTTGACCAGCAGCAGGTCTGCAGACCACCAGCACCATCCCCTCCTTCCTCCCAGCAGCCTCCAGAACCACACCCAGGTCTCCTGCCTCACATCACAATAATCTGGGACCCAGGCTTGTGCCCCTTCAGTGTCAAGCTGACTCTACTCACATGTGCGTCCACCTCTTTTCATCCATTGAGATCACTACTGCCTCCTTTTTATACAGACACAAATGTATATCTATAAGAATAATACATGCATAAGGAACCCCGAAAGGTGGTTTTGGAACAGAAATCAGTTAGAGGATGCAATCAGATGAAGGAAAAGCCTATTTTGGAGCTTCCCCTGTTAGGAAGGATGGCTGCACTTGGCCCCCTCGCATTTATGACGCTCTGGGAGGGAAGGGGTGGCAGTGCTGGAGTGCTGGCCTCCCTCTCCCTGTTTTCCCTCTTCCAGCTGACCTGTGACTTACACTGCCATTACAGTTGATGCTTTTGGAAAAAATAGAGCCTGTATGCACTGCCCCATTTGTCCCATGGATATCCTGGGGTGTGAGTGGGATGGGACCACGGCCCTGTTTATATTTGGGTCTTTATGTTGGTGTTGCCAGGTCTCTGAGCTGCAAAGGTGGCCTCTTGGACAGATCTACAGCTATAGGAATAAAAGACACTCTGCCTCGAAAATGGCCACTTGTCAACAAGCCCAAAGATGCTTGTCAGAGGAAGGTTATGGAAGCCATTAATTCTTGGTATTGGGAAAAGGTGGAATGACAAGTTACTGATTGTTTTTCTGTTGTTATTTCTTTCATTTTTCTAGTGAATCAGAAAGGCTTAGCTAAGGATGTATCTGGGAAGAGTGGAGAAATTTGCCACTTGATGATCACGGATTAGCTAGCACCTTTAAGCCCTGCATTCCTCCAACTGACAAGTTGGTGGGGGTGATGGCACGTGCAGTACGGCCATGAAGAGCTAATCCTCTCTATTTAAATAGATGACTGTAGTTTGGCTAGCAATTTGACATCAGTGGTAACGTACCTAGTTAATAAAATAAGCCAGGCTTGCAACTAAGTATCTAACTTTACAGGCCCACTCACATTTGAGGCAAGGGGCTGTTGAGTATGTGGAGAGATGTAGTGATTTAAATTCAGATTGTTTAAGTTGGATCAGCTGAAGTGTGTTTTAGAACCAAACCATCTGGCCCCTTCGTTTCGCTCAGAGGAAGTAAATGTTCACTTAAATGAAATTGAAAACGCAATGTGGCACCACAAAAGCTCTAGGTACTTTCTCCATGCTGCCTCAAAAGTCCTTTGATTTTTGGGGTCAGTCTCACCCTTCACTTCCTGAGGGTGGGTGAGTGGAGAGCAGAACAGGGAGCTCCGGCAGCTGTGGACAGATGTGCTTCCTGAGCACGGGTTGTGCCTCCCATCGTAAAAAAAATGTTTAGTTCACTTCCTTAATTGTATAATTATTTATTTGTAAATTATATACATGTACTACTGTACTAAAATATTATGTACATTATAAAACATACACAAAAATAGAAATTTAAAAAAGACAAGATGAAAATAAATCTAAATCAAAGTTCTAATATTTTTTCCTGCATTCAACTGGATCCTCATGTTTCCCCACAACTGCTGTCTCCAACATGCCCATTTTTTAGGACTGTTCAAATCCGGGACTGGTGACATGCAATAAGTGGTTTGCGCCACCTGGTGGTGCTGGGAGGTGTCCTCGGGCTCAGGGGCTTCTGAGGTCTGCCCTTGATAACAGTGTCTCTTGCGCCTTCATCCTCTCATTCAACGAGGGCCAACTGTGTGCTGCACACTGGGCATGGTGATGGGGATACGGTGGTGGGAGGAAGTTTGCTCCCTGTCTTCGTGCGGCTCACACTTTGGTGGGGACAACAGGCAGTTACCGTTACCACTTGGACCTCTGGGAAGGTCTGCAAAGAGAAGCCAAAAAATGACCTGGAAGAGAAAAGAAGGAACTGGGAAAGTGGGGACAAAACCTCTGAGTTGGGAAGCTGCCTGAACGTCATCCTACATGTTCCAGTGACAGGGTGGGGGTAGGGAAGTAGTTTGACAGGACTGCGACTCTTCCTGAAAGGCCATGGGAAGGCTCCCCAAGGCAGAGATTTGAGAGGCAGAATGGGTCCTCTCTACCCACATGTGTTCCCCAGTTCTAACCATACCTGTGAAATGAATGGGTGGATGACAGGTGAAGAAAAAACTCTGTTAGGTTCTGGCCTTGCATTCTCGGCATGCGTGGCAGGTAATGTAGGATACAGAGCATATAATGAAGGTACTTGATGCTCATGCAAAGGTCGGTGAGTTCACCAAGAGGTTATTCAGAATCAACCAAGGGCCACATAGAGATTGGCGAGTTCATTGGGTCACATCTGACTGTAAAATTTAGAAGGTGACCGCAACCTAGAGCCCTGGTAAAGGTAAAAGTCACATGAGGACACTAAGCTGGATCACACAAAGGTCAATGGGTGAACTCCCAATGAGTTCATATGGAGTTCACTTGGGATCCAACAGAAGCCACCAGTCCCATGGAAGAATAACTGGCTCTCAGAGGATTTTAAAGCCAACCACACATCCAGAGACAGCAGAGGAGGCTGGGTGAAATCAACAGAAGGGGGCTGGGAGGGGCCAATGAATTGCAGGTTTACGCGGCATTATTTTCCTTTTTAAAAATTTTTTGTTAGCAGATACTTTTCCCCAGCACCCCCACAATGAACACAAAAACTTTAGTTTGTTCTTTCCATCATCTCCCTCTAATCTAGTTTTTGTCACTCTGGCTGTGTGATACAAGGATGCAAGGCAAGGGATATTGTCATCACTACCATCAAATTAGCCATGTACTAGGAGTCTATCACATGCCAGTATCAGCACTGGGTATTTTATAATCTCCACAGAAACCTTTTGGGGTAGTTATTTGCATCACCATTTCCCAGCAAGGAAACTGTGGCCTACAGCTATCACACAGCTGGGAGGCGCAGAGCTGGAATTTGAACTCATGCCCTGTTGATGCCAAAGCCCTCTCAACCTGCAGCCTCTCTGTCCCTCCCACCTGTGGGTCTGTAAATACATTCTAGGGACATTCACACCTACCCACACCCTCACAAACACACACACATGAGCAGGCGATAGTGGATGCCAACCACCTCAGCTCTTTGGGTGGAAGATGTCATGGTGTCTGGCTGGAACCGAATAGTTCCCGGTGCTGGGCACTGGTTTACTAAATTAGTTGATGAGGGAAAAGTCTTTTGAACCCTGGGCCTCCATCTGCCTTCTCCATATTGAAATCATGTACTCTCCCTCAGGGCTGCGGGTTTAGACAGGCCCTGGCTCTGAGGGGGTATAAACTGGGGAAAGAGCAACACCCTGTAGGCTTACGAGCTGCAGCAGCTGTGGTCCTCCTGGCAGCTGGGGGTACCTGTTATACCACTTTGCATGTCCAGACTTTGCCTGTGACGTGCTTCAGGGTCCAAGGGTCATCCTGCCTCAGCTGTGCCAGTGCCAACCCCACAACCCACCCCTCCTCACCCACTTAGGCTGGCAACTGTTGCCTCAGTCCAGCCCATAGATCCAGGGCAGGAACTGGGCCAGAGTTCCAAGGCTGAGTTTGAAGCAGAGCAATTTGCGTCAGTCCCTTGGCCAGATTCCCCAGCAGCCAGGGGGACACCTTGTAAATATTCTTGGAAGCAAGAGGAGGGCTGGAGTCTGTCCTGGGAGCTGGGGCCATTGAGACTGGAGAGAGAGTCACTTCCTCTCAGGGACTGTCCTGGCTCCCTCCAACCTCCAGGCCAGATCATCCACCTCCACCATGGGACTTGGTGCTCGGACTTCCCTCCACATCTGGGGCTAGGCACACACAGTCAAACAGGAGTTATTTCTGATTTTATTTATAATATAAAAATGTTCAAGTGTCAACAGTCAGGTGTTCAGACATTTCAGGGCAGGATTCCCATTTGTTTCTGTTTGGGATTTTTTTTTTTTTTTTTTTTTTCTTATTTTTTTACAATTACCTTTTTGACAAATTAGCAGTGGACCCAGGTTTTGGGGGTGGGAGGGCAGGACTGGAGACGGAGTGTAAGTCATAGGTGGGTTGGGGGCTAGGAAGTAGCCTGTGAGAAGGAAATGGTGTTACTTTATTGCTAAAAAGGGAATACACTGTCGAGTGGCTCTTCTCGGTCCCAGCGTGACCATGCATCCAATCTAAAGAATCTGAAATGCAAAGGACATGCAGGTGTAAAATAGAAAAGACGACCTGTAAACGAAGGCGCTGCAGAGGACGGAGGGGCGCCCTGGAGGCTGTGGGGGACAGGAGCCGCCAACATTGGGACCCTGGCAGAGCTGCCCCTCCCTGGGCCCAGGCTTTCTGGGAGACCTTTCTCTGCCCGGCTCCCTTAACCGCTGTGAGTAGCCAGGGATCCCCCATTCGGGTAGCTGTGTTTTTATCTTCCACTGGAAGTTACCCCAGCACCAGCTCCAAGTCTAGAGTCCTGGCCCTCACGCCCCAGGGGTTCGGAACTCCAGCTCTTGCCTGGGGGCAAAGCTACTTCTGTCCTCAGTTCTTCCTCAGGGCCAAGCCCCCACCACCCCCCACCCTCGCCCCCACCAGAACCCCACAGCCTCTTCTCTCCCTGTCACTCCCAGCACTCCGCAACCCAGAGACCTCTCCCGGAGCCCCAGATGAGCGTACAGCAAAAGGCACCACAAAATAGGTTTCTATTAAAGAGTCAAAAAATTGGCCCATCTCTCTTTTTTTTTTGTTGTTTCTTTTTTTTTCGGAAGCTGTAAATCAGGATGTCACATATAAATAGTTTCCCTATAAAAACGTCTTTGCCGTTAGCTAGTATTATAAGACAATTTTTGCTAAAATGAAAATAAAACATTTTGTTATACTTTTTTCCTTTTATAGAAAATAAAAATATTTTTATTTCTTTTTTCCTCCTTTCTCTCCAGTTGGCGGTCTCTCGTCTCCTTAAAGACAGTGGCGCGGGCGAGGCGGAGGGGCGCGCGGCGGGGCCCTAGAGCGGCGCCGAGTCCTGCTTGGCCCGCGGGGGCGGCCCGCGGCTGTGTCTGCTGCTGGCCCGCGTGCTGTGGCTGTCCAGGGAGTAGTAAGTCCTGCTGTCCGCCGCCGGATACAGCGGCGGCGAGTCCGAGCGCAGCGAGTCGTGCGCCGCGCGCAGGCCCAGGAAGGGCGTGCTCTCGGCCGCCAGCGCCCCGTCCGCGTCGTCGTCCGACGCCGAGGCCGAGCCGCCGCCCGAGCCGCTGCTCAGCGACAGCGAGTCCCGCGCCTCCCGTGCGCGCTGCGCCGCCAGCCCGTTGAGGCGCGAGCGGCGCCAGCGCCGGGGCCCCGCCGACGTCCTGCGGGACGCGCCGCGCACGCGCGGCCGCGGGGGCGGCGGGGGCGCGCACTCCTGCGTGGTCTCGTACTCGTCGTCCTCCGGGATGCGAAAGGGGCTGGCGGGCAGGCTGCCCAGGCTGCCGCCGAGCGCGCAGGTCCCGCGCCGCGGCCCGGGCCCCGCCGCGGGGTAGTAGTAGCTGTCGTAGCTGCGCTGCATGTCCGCGCCGGGTCCGGGTCCCGGCCCGGGGCCGGGGGGCGCCGGGTGCCGCAATAGCGGCTGCTGCTCCGCCAGGCGGTAGCTGATGGGCGCGGCCGGCGGCAGCGACACGGCGTGCGCCGAGTTGGGGGACGTGATCTCGAAAGTCGGCACCTGCGTGGCCAGCGAGTAGTGGAAGTCCACGGGCGAGAGGCGCGCGGGCGTGGTCAGGGCCGACACGTACCTGCGGGGAGAGGCAGAGGCATGGGCCTGGGCCAGTCCCGGGCCGGGGATTGGGGGTGGGGTGGGGTAGGCTGGGAGGGGCGGACCCAGACCTGCAGTAACCTTGCCCCAGAACCCGCCTGCAAGAATGATGGCGGTAACCCTCAGTGGCCTTATGCGATTTCCTAAACTTCTCCGAGCCTCGGTTTCTTATTTGTTAAGCGGGCATAACCATGGTGCTCATTCCATAGCAATGTTGGGATGATTCCACAATTTATCAGTGGGATGTGGTAGCCCTGTGCCTGACCTGGTAAGTCTCCATGAATGGCTCACCGTTACATCACGGGGTCAGGCCCACACTGGGGTATAGTACAGGTTCCACCTGGTTTAATACGGCAGCTCTGTAAGACCCTTCCACAAGTCCCATTCTACACACAGGAAACTAACACTCAGAACGTTTAAATGACTTATTCAGGATTTACACAGCCAGGAAGTGGCAGAGCTGGGATGTGACTTGAGGCTAGGCAGGAACCAGGACTCATACTGCCCAATTCCAGAACCCACTAGTCCCCATTCAGATACACCCCTGTGACCTGTACTCACTGCCCCACAGGGACAATTCATCCCATGCCCCAATGGCTTCAGTGAGGGAAGCAGTCCTTCTTATATTGAAGTCAAAACCTGCTTCAGGGAAGTACCAAGATCCCACTGAGGTGTCTCTGCAGACCCATCCCCACACCACCAGCTCCTTCAGAATTTTGCCCTGGCTAATATCTCCCAGGCTGGATCCCGGGTACCTGTCCCTTTCTGTG